TTCCGTTTTATACAGGTAATTAAAGAGGAATACATCAAGGGGGGAGCGGGAAGATTCTGTAAAGACAGGTTTCCGTTAAGGCAGGTTCGACTGTATTTGTAAAGGAATCATTCAGAGAATCCTTTATGTGTTAATGTCTCACTTAAACAACCATCAGCTTATTACTTAAAGGGAATACAGGAAAGGCTGCTCGTTTGTGCTACTCACCTGATCCTGTAGTTTCTGCGTGTTGGCCACACGCTCTCTGCACATTTCAAGTTGTTTCTCAAGCTCCAGATTTTTGTGCTGCATGTTCTCCAGTTTCTGAAAGGCAGACGGGGGCTCACTTAAATCAATAAACACAGTACAAAAGTTTCAAAATAAACTTTATGGGCAACAGGCATTATGCATCTTCTAGATTTAGAAAAAAAAAATAGAACAATGGTATTACAAATCAAGAACAAAAATACAAAACATGAACCTTGACATCCTACTTTTTTGCTATAGGATACAATTGTATGAAAGTCAAGTATCTTGAAAAAAATTTTGAATTATACAAACTGAATTCCAAGAGCACCCTCCCTAGTGGTGGTGGTGGTGGGGGTGAGTGAAGACAAAAACTATAAAAGCCAGCAATATGAGAAAGTCAGAGGCTCACCTTTTGCTGTTTATCATAATCCTCTTTCTGGGACAACATCAAGTTTTTCATCACGATACGCTCCGCCTTCAGGTCCTTGTTCTCCTTCAGTGATGTCCTGACAATCATAAGTGATGAGTTTTTAGTTTAGTAAGGGTTTTACTGCGCTCGAAACTGCATAAGGTTATATGGGAGCATTAAGTAATGAGTAAACGAGTGTCATAAAGCGTGATAATGAAACACAGGTTTTAGTTTTTCTTTGTTTAAAAACAAGGACTCGTTCATATAATATGCCAGACTGGCATCTGTGATGTAGCGGTTAGGCGCCTCACTGTCACACGCAGGAGACCGAGTTCAATTTCCGAGTGGGGAGAATTTTTTAATTAAGTATCTTCAACTTTCCGCAAAGATGTTGTATCCCTCTCAATAATGACCAATAAACGAATCAAACACAATAAAACAAAGTTCTAAAATGGAAACTAACAGATTCAAACGCTTCCATGAAAACAATAACTAATTGAGTAACAACAGCAATCAAAAAGCAAAAAACAAAACAAAAATTACAAGAAAAGAGCACCACCCTCCCCACAAACACACACACACACACACACACAATCACACACATTTCTTGACAAACCTGAACTGCACTAGTTTCTCGTACTCGTCCGACTCGCTGCTCTGTGTGAGCCTCCGGTGGTCCTCCTGGAGTAGCTTGATGCTCACCTTGAGCTGCTGAATCTCCTGCTCCTTGAGCTGAACTTGCTCACCCTGGTAAAACCAGAGGAGATTAGTTTTAGTAGAGGTTTTACGGTGCTCGCAACTGCATAAGGTCATATGAGTGCCAAGGGGTGGATGTCCACAGAGAAGTCTTTACAGCGAATCGGGCTTACTCTGCTCACCTCTCTAGCTTCAACAGGACAAAGTCTACTTCGACTATCAAGGCACTCCGCAAATAGCCGGTCACAAGAGTGTGACAAACATACAAAAGAAGTAGAGGAAAATGACGATAGTAAGGATTAGGAAAGAAAAAGCAGCAGTTCCCTGTTGCAGGTCAGGCACAGTTATGAGCATGACATTGATGAATCAGCCCATTTACAATTAATATTCCACTGTGCATAAGAACTCGAGATGCTAATGTCCCCCCCTTTGGGAATGGCCTAAAGACACCCGAAGAGAGAAAAGAAAAACCCAATATCAACAGCCCTCATCATCTATATTGTGCATCATGTATATTATTCCTGTACAGCCAGGAAAAAATTTCCCACTGGGACAATGAAGTGTTATCTAATCTTATCTTATCAAATTGTTTTTTAAGTCTTGGTAGATATTTTATTAGCTGATAAAAACATCTCACTACCCGTTCTATTACATTTCTTGTCCTTTTCCCTGTTTCTTGTCTTTATTCCATTTTTAGACCTATCTCTGATTAGAAATCAGATTGCAGAATCTTAATCAATGGTCATTTCTTATTCCTCATTTCACATTTTGATTTTCTGCAAAGAGAATGTTATTGATCCCTACTGGTTTAACACATTACACCCTAAGGGTCTGGACGGGAAGTCAATTCTAAGATCCTAAGCAAGGGAAAAACACATTTTAAAAACACTAAACAAATTCCATAGCAATTAACCACGAAAAACCTTTTTTAGTCAGAGAGTGTTTGCAAATAGGTGCATTTTGTAGCTGTATCTTCACAGAGCATGGAACTTTTTGAAGTAAAAAAGAAAAAATGAATATGGTTTCAGAAAAATGTAACTTTATGTATGCGCAAACTGTTGCAAATGTTCTAACTTTAGTTCAGTCGGGGTGTCCGACCTGTCACTCTCACTCTCAGCCTCGCGGTTGGATCCTAGATCTAAATTCTACATCTGATCAATCTGAATCGCCCCAAACTCTTGCACGTTTTCACCACTATCTGATTCACCTGATTTGCCATATGCTTGTTTTTGCTCAAATCCATCGTTATTTCCTTTTTCAAACTCAGTTGTGTTGCTCTTCAACAAGTCGAGACACCTTCAAAATTTCGTTTCCGTATCAAGCGGAAGAAGAAACATTTTGCAATAACTATGCAAATCAAAATCTCGGCCCAAGAGTCTCGTCAAGGCGAGACTTAGTTTCTAAAGACGCTAGGTCGGCGCAGGCGGTTCCAGGTGAGTTAGGGTGGAGCGCGTAAGGAAATTCGCGGGCGAGTTAGGGTGAAATGTGTTAACAACCACACACAACTTAATGAATGATTTAGAACCGCACCACACCACAGTTGGTTGCCATGGTGCAGTATCAGTTTTCCAGCTCGGACCAGTCTTCAGCAAGGATTAAAATAATAGATTTTAAATAGCACATATTATTACCCTGACAAACTCCATAAAATTTCAAACATTTTAAGCTCCTCAGGGGACAAATTTTTATAACCCACACACAAATTAGGCTCTTCACTCTTCAAGCATATTTCATAACCCACACACAAATGAGGCAGTCACTCTTTAAACATATTACACAACTCTCACACACAAATAAGGCTGTCTCTCTTCAAGCGTCTCAACAGAAACTGACCAGAGTTTTCTGCTGTTCCTCTAGAGTGGCCACATGTGCAATGCGACGCAGAAGCCGTCGGTTCCTCTTGGCATGGTTCGTGCGCTTGTGTCGCTCGTACATGAGCTGGTTCTGCATCAACAAAATCTGACCCCTCAGGATGTTAACCTCGTCAGCGGGAGGCATTCCTGAAAATGAAACAAGACATGTTGTACGACAACACAGTAAAAGTAAAAGGGCAACCAGACCTTACAGAACACAAACTGACAACCTACAAAACAAAGTGAACATCAGTCCATTTACACGAAGGGTGCCTTCTTGGCCATTGAAGAGAGCACGATGGATCTGAGCAAAGCTTCTGTTCCTCCAAGAAAAGTCAAATGACTAATGAAAATTACAGGCAAACCACAAGAAGCTGTACCTACAAGTGAAGCCCCTGCCCCAACATCTTAATTCCAAAGATAACGTTTGACATCATATTTTCAGTAAATAACCAGAAAAGTTTAAAACCAGAACCACAAGGTTTATCTTAACAATATCGAGAAGCTAAAGATTAATTGAAATTGCCAAATATATTTCAGAAATAAAAAAATAACAATCTGGGTCCAAAGTGGATGCATATACTCTGCAAATGTCTTTTTAGTTTCATTTTAGTAAGAGTTGTACAGCACTTGCAAGGCAATACAATAAAGTCATATAAGTGTTGATGATTAGAGGTGCTACAAGAGGGTAACAAACACAAAACAGAACAAGAGGAGATAAGGATGATAAATGTTTGATGAGCAAGAAGGAGCAAACCACACCAGAGCATCCACCAGCCGCCCACTCAAATATCTTTGGTTGGATCTACAACTAGAAGAAGTGGTCAGCACAAGGAATCCTCACCACCAAAATGGGTCCAGTTCGTCGTCTCTTTGCTAGTCAGGGGGATTTTGGTCAGCTCCTTTGCATGGATGTCCGAGCCCAGCTTGAGATGGCGGTCAAGTAGCTCCGGAGGGGAGACAACGCTGAACAGAGAGACTTCGTTACCTGCGAGGGTCAAAGGAAGAAAATGTCAAAGGTAAAGAAATAAAGTTTCAGGTTGTAATATGCTACATATAATATTTAACACTCCCTATTATCACAATTTAGATCATTTAGGAGGAGGGCTGCGCCCACCTTGCATGCCTGGGTCAACGCAAGGAAGAGAAAAAGCACAAAAATTAAAAGAGTCACCTTTAATAGTGGTAGTAGTGGTGGTGGTCGTTGTCGTGGTGACATCTGTGATGGCCGCCGCTGAGATGTTGGCTGCCTGGCTAGAGCCTGAAGAGGTGACCATGAGCTGCAGGTGGCACTTGTTGCACACGGCCAACTTGGCAGGGGCCAGGATGTACTGGAACACAGGGTTCACCGAGGCCGGCAGGACCGGCATCACCTCCTCCTCCGCGGCGTCCTGCTCCGTGTGGTGAGGAGCGCTGCGCCTCGGGGTGTCCTTGGCGCTGCCTGAGACGGTGAAAAATGGTGAAATGGTATAAGATAATAATAATAAATGACATTTATATAGCGCTCCACCCCGAATAAAGTACACAGACTCTGATCCCTTCACAATACAGTACAACGTACAACAGTAACATATAACGTTGTGTTCTGACTAAAGAAAATTATTCCAAATATTCATCTTATTAATTTAAAAACAGAAACAACTTCAGCTGACATTTGAATGAATCAAAAGATTTGATCTCTCTTAAAGTACTTGGTAAAGCATTCCAGATCCTGGGGCCTTGGTATTCAAATGCCCTTTCACCCATTGTTTTAAGTTTCATAGATGGTAAAATAAATTTCTTTTTGTCAGCTGATGACCTTAAACTGCAAGTTGGAATGTACAGTCGTGTTTAAGTTGGGTTTTTTTTGTTTTGCAGTATCTTTTTTTTCGGGGGGGGGGGGGGGGGTAAGTGTTTTAAGGTGCTCACAACTGCATAAAGTCATACGTGCGTGCATGGTATCAATTTAACGCCCCTATCAAAACTATTAGGTGATTTAAGAGGTGGCTGCCTGAGATGGGAAAAAAAAGTATCAATTTGTTTTGTTTGTTTGTTCGTTTGTTTCATTTCATTTGAGTACAGAGAAGTACATCGATACAATAATGGTCATTTAGTGCTGGGAAAAAGTAAGACAGGCAGAAACAACAGAGGGAAGGAAAAGAAGAAGGACCTACCTGTGACGCCCTCCAACCACTTGCAGTTTGCTTTGACAGTAAACCCTGCTGATTGTCAATGCAAATCTACATATGGCATGAGCCAGTGGCCGAGAAACACTATGTGCGTTCATCTTAACCAGCCATTTTTAAGAAGAGAAGCGTGCTGATGTTGAATCTAAATTTTCAGCTTAGACCATAGACACTCAAGACAACTGAATTTCATTGACGCGTATTAAAACAACCGTTGTAAAACTTGTTACGTCCACAATTAAGACTAACTTCCAGTGAGAACCCCAGTCTTTTTTTCCCGCAAAATTCTTCTCATCATTGCTGTCCAATTGATAAAGTTGACCCCCATTAGCTCTTTATCTTAGCACTATGACCAGCATCTTTGTAATGCAGACAGTCTCTGCTGTCCAAGTACAGAGCAGTAACCAGAGACCTCATGGGTGTCAGCAGGGTGAAGTTAGTCTTCCATTTCCACTGCTGAGTGCAAGACTCCACCATATGCCATTTTGAAAAGTAAAGTATACCGCAGTCTTACACTGAGCAGTCAATTTATGTTAACCATTTCCTTCAACATTGTTTACCAATCTAAAAAGCAGTGCTCACATCTTAATGTTCATCAGCCATGAGAACTATGGGTTCTAAGGCGTAGTATTTTCCTTTATTCTAAACAACAACTCGACGGTTCTAGTATCCCTGATCTGTCTGTATCACCACCTCAGTGGGCGTTGCGTTGAACTATAACGCAGATGACGCTGGTGTAAATCCCTACAGGTGCATTTATTCTCTGGACAAAGACTGGAAAACAGCAACCCTTCCCGCTAGAAAATAACTTGAATTAAAAGAACTCATGCTGCATGAAACTGTACTGGAATGAAGAAAGTAGACACTATACGACACACATATACACAAGCACTCAAGCTTTTACACAAACTCAAGAATTAAACATTTCAGGAAACTACAAATCTTTCTTACTTGTACCCAACATCTTTTGAGTTTACTCAAGTCCTTCTTGTAAAAAATTCTTTCATAAAATCATATATAATCAAAGCTGAACAAAAAAACGAGGAGTCTCTCACCACCAAAGCTGGAAATGTCGTCCAAACTGTCCTCACTGGCCAGGATTTCCTGAGCTCCGACCCCCTCGACAGCACTCTTCTGTCGCAAAAACTTCCCTCCCGGGCCCCCGCGGACGACCAGACCCGAGCCCACTGCCGAGTAAAACTTTTTGCTCTTCCTTCCAGCGGCACAACCGTCGGGGGTCGGCTGATGCAGGGCGAGTCTCTTGAACGGAGGGCACGATCTGGGCCGACCCCGGGTGCTTTGATACGCAACTTGCGAAGTCACGGATATCGTGTCAAGGTCAGAGGAGGACGAGTTCGAGGTCAGGCTGTTGAACCTGATCCTGTTGACTTTTTTCATGAACTGTGGACAAAATAAAACAACGAGGTGAGAAAAGCTCAATACACAATGTGTGTGTGTGGGTGTGTACGTGCTTGCATGCGTGCTTATGTGTACGTGGTGAAACACCAAAGCAATGTGCCAGGATCTGGACAATAAAGATGTACCTTATCTTATCTTATGCTTGTGAGTAGGAAAACCTTGACACTTTTTACTTCAATTTGAAAAGAAAACCTACAAAAAAAATAATGCACATGTAAAATATCAAAAATTAAGATTCAAAAAGGAACTCTCAAAAACGCATCCACACATACGTCCACACACCTGTCTGACAGACTCGGCGGTGACCTCCGCCTGTGAGGCCAGTGTGGTGGAAGACGAGGAGGATGGACTCCCACCGTCGTGGAACTGGTCGTCTTTCTCGTTGATCTCCTCCACTTCCTGGTCCACGTTCACTGTGCCAGGAGAGACATTTGTTTGTTCTATATTTGTCGCTGTTTTAGTAAGAGTATTACAGCACTTGCAACACGATTAGGTCATATAAGTGCCCAAGATTAGAGGTGTTACAAGAGAGTAGCAAACACAAAATAGAAAGAGGGAAGATAAGGATGATACATATCTGATAGGAAAGAAGGAGCAAACCACACCAGAGCACCCGCCAATCCACTCATGAGGAGAGACAAAAAAAGACACCTCCAGTTGAACCTGCTGAACAGCCATATGCCCAAGACAATCACCTGCACAAACAGACCAATTTCTATCATCCCCCCCCCCCCCCCGTTTTTTTTCTGAATTTTAATAGCAATGTTCAAGACTTTCACCTGTCTACAGCAACCACTTTTCACTTCAACAATGGGAAGCAGTATGGGCCAATTTCAACAGTAATTGTACCAATAGGGGGGGGGGGGGGGGACTTAAAAGATTAACAAATTAAAACAACCCCCCCCCCCTCCAAAAAAAAGCACCCAAAAATCAACCAAAAACAAACAAACAAAAGTTTAATGCCAACCCCCCCCCCCCCCATTTAAAAGATTAACAAATAAAACCACCCCCCCCCCCGCTGCCAAAAGAGAGAGAGAGAGAGAGAGAGAGAGAGAGAGAGAGAGAGAGAGAGAGAGAGAGAGAGAGAGAGAGAGAGAGAGAGAGAGAGAGACAGACAGACAGACAGACAGACAGACAGACAGACAGACAGACAGACAGACAGACAGACAGACAGACAGACAGACAGACAGACAGACAGACAGAGACAGAGACTGCCCATCCAAGTTAACGCCCCTAACTGACCAGAATCCGAGGTGTTCAGAGTGCTGATGACATGTGGGAGAGACTCCATGGGAACGTTGGCCATCTTGTCCCCTGACGCGGTTCTCGACTTGCCCTCTGTCTGGGACCCGGTGCTGTCCACTGACCTCTCCAGGCCTGGGGTACTGGAGCCACTCTGACCACAGACAAGGGGAGCACAGGGAAAAAACAGCATACTGACTGACTTAGGAGAATATGCTGATGTATAATAATGAAGGTATTTTCCATATTCAACCAATACAACTTGTATTTTTTAGAAAGCGGGCTTTGACCATGCCTGTCACTACTGTCAGGACCAACGCGGGCTCAGAAGAATACACTGTAATGGCAGCCGTTCTTTTCTCTCTCTACAAACATTGCTGCCCTGGTGCCTACCAAGGACAGGATCAATGAAAATCTAAATACCCACACGGAACCAAGGCTTCCGCCTCATTCTGGAGGCTTTCCGAGGATCTCCTGTGGTCGGAAATTTCTAGGCGAAGGCCAACATCCCAACACTCAAAAATAAAATGAAAAAAACCCCCAACCTTTCATTACACTATGTCATACGTTGCTAATGTAATCAGACAACGTTCAACGTCTCAGAACCCAAAAATAAGTGCAAAAACAGTAACAAAAGTATTACACCTTGCGGACTCAGATTCACCGAGGACCTTGAAAAAATATAATTTTGATGTTCTCAATGACTGACTTAACCCTGCCAACTGTGTCCTCTCTTTTTCTTTTAAAAAAATGGCTTGCCTTTCAGAGACAACGAATGATATAGTTAACTTCACAGGTACGAAGCTTACCTGGTAGGAAACTTAACTCATTAAGGAACAGTGGGTGAAGTACCAACAGAGCTGATGGTGCACCTTCTGTGATACAGAGCAGTACTACTAAAGTTCTTGAGTTTTAGTTAAGAATAGAGGAAAATACTACACTGTAGAACCCACAGTTTCATGGCTGATGCACATTGAGATGTAAGCACTGCTTTTAAAAAAAGTGAACTATGTTGAAGATAAGTGTTTGCATAAATTGACTGCTCAGTGTAGGACTCTGTTATACACCACTTTTCGAAAAGGTGTACGGTGGAGTTTCACACTAAGCAGTTGAAATGGAAGACTAACATAACCTTGCTGACTTAACCCATGTTGTCATCACATTACTCCCAGTAACTCCACTCCAACAGCCACCCACTCACCTGTGAGTTGGAGTCCAACTTGGCAGCCTCTGCCTTGGTCACAGACACCGTCACAGGACAGCTGGGGCCCTCCTCCTTCTCCTCGAGCGCGGCGTTGAACTGCAGCGAGCGCATGGCCGGGCTGCGAGACTGCAGCGGGCTAGCAAATGCACTGCCCTTGGACCTGCCATAAAAGAACGGACTGAGGGCGTGATGCTAGAAATAGTTTTACCAGCTCCATTAACAAATACTTCTTCTCTTGAGGTTCTTTGCAAGCACCTGATTGACTTTTATTTCCAAATCATTATCTTAAACTTAGATAAGTCTCTTGCGACTTTTACTTCAGTACTATATTTGGAACAGCTCTGAGCCATGATCCAATAATTCTCAAAATGCCATTATCAGGTTTATGCGCTGACCCATAGAGAAAACTATAAAGCCTGGAATAAACAGAAGCATTTGAAACTTTGTATATAGTTGAACTTTCTCTTCAAGTCATGTGTACAAATGACCTCTTTCCACTTCTCCACTTGAGTATTTATTTTTATTTGATTTTTTTTTTACATTACAATGACACTGTCCGCGACGTCCACCTGTCTAAGACAACTACCTTTCTCCTCGACAATGGGAGGCAGTCTTGGACAATTTCAACTGACTTTTAAGCTGATCCCTGACATTAAATTTTTTAATATTCAACATTTACACGATAACAACCGTGCCAAGAGAACTAAACAAGAAGCCAATTCAGCACCCTCTATTTTTCAATATCTTGTACACTGATCACTGCCTGCCACAGAGGCCTACATCATATAAATCATAAGTAAACCCAATTCTATGAAATCAAAAAGTCGTTATAAAGTCGTGACATATTCCTCCACATCTCTTGTTTAAAACAAGCCTAAAGTTGACACAGAAAAATGACGAAAAGGCACTAACACGAGCTAATATTCGTCACAAACAGCATTCCAACCAAACACCCGCAATACACCTTGTTTTAGTTTCAGTAAGAGTTTTACAACATTTGCAACACTTGAGGTCGTATAAGTGCCGAAGATTAGAGGTGTTACAAGAGAGTAACAAACACAAAAAAGAAGGAGAGATTAGGACCAAAGATGTTTGATGGGAAAGAAGGAGTAAACCACCCCAGAGCACCCGCCAACCACCTGCGCAATACATCTGTTTACAAAACAGACAAATAAACTCTGTTTCACCTGAAAGGAGTAGACTCTCCCCGACCGCCCGGGGTCAGCGGCGATGCGAGGATGTTCGAACCCGGTGTGGTCGGAGTTGTATTGGGCACAGAGACGACAGGCTTGGGTGTAGCCAGCACAGGTCTCTTGCCATCGCCAGACTTGGGCTGCTGGATGCCACCTCGACTGCTGCTGCGGCTCAGTGGAGTCTGATGTGAGAATAGAAGGCGCAAGATTTACTATTGATAAAAAGATCCCACCCTAAACACAACAGATGAGACCCCTATTGCACGCTAAATAGAGCAGACCAGGTCAAAATCTTTCAACTTTGTTGTGGCCATAATAGACTCAAACACCATATGCACACTAAATTAAAAGTGCGAGAGTCCGCGATCTGTGAATGTGGACACGAGGATGCCAAGTTTGTCCATCAACACTGCCCGCGCTGCGCCACCTTTCGTACAGACGTGGCAGAATGTGACTCCCCTTGAGAGAAAGCTCCATGGCAGTCTCTTAGATTTGAAGCGGACTGCACAGTTTCTGAGCGACATCGGACTGACTGTCTAGCTGCTGTCATCGAGAACAAGGAGGAAGAAGAAGGAGAAGAACTGTCTATAAGAGTTTAAGTTTTGAGTTGTACAGAAACTCATTGTCAGTGTCTAGCACTAAAAGGGTATCCGAAAAATTAGGTCAAACACTTTCTCTGAAAAATAGTAATTTCTTTCTAATAATCTTCCAGAACTGCTCACATTTTGTGTAGTGTTCTTTTTACTTTTATTACAGTATCATCAAATGTCAGATTGACAGCAGCATCTCTCATACAATCAAACAATACAACAGGAGGTTATAAAGAGGATGAGGCAGTACCTTGTCCCCGTCCTCTGTCTGTGATGGTGTGTGCTGTCTGGGCGTCATCTCAGGGGTGTCCCCGACAGTCCCTGGACAGACAGACAGACAAACAGAGCAGCATAAATATATTGGACTTCATACACGCGATTTGAAAGAAAATGAAGTCTACACACAAACACACACACATACATACATAACCTCTCAGATAAACATGAAAAATTCAGATCCTGAAGTTACTCTTACAATAACCAATATGACAGTTTCATTTGAAGGTTTTAGAATTATCAGGTTTGATGTCAATTACAGCAAGGAAGCTTCAAGACAGTAAAAGTTGTCTCAGTAGTTGATGAAACTTTAGGAAAGTCATCTTCAACTTTGATTATCAAACAGAGCAAGCTCAAATAACTGCTCAAACAACGTAAACTCAGCTTATTAAACCCCTGACTCTACACAAAGTGTTATGACTGGATTATCAAACAGAGAGAGCTCAAGTGACTACTCAAGCAAAGTAAACTAAGCTTATTAAACCCCTGACTCTTTAGTTTAGTTTTAGTAAAAGTTTTATAGCACATGCAACACAATAACGTCATATAAGTGCTGAAGATTATATGTGTTACAAGATAGTAACAAACCAAAAAATGAGGAGAGATAAAGAGGATACTTGTTCGATAGAAAAGAAGCTAAAGTGAAGGTTCAAGGAAAGTAAACTCAGCTTATCAAACCCCTGATTCTACACAAAGTGTCATGACTCTGCCACCATTCACCTGTGTTGGTACCGGCGTCAAGGAAACTTGTGGCCGGAGTTGCGCGCTGTGATGACGGGGGCGTGGACAGACCAATCAGAACAGAGGGACTCTCCCCCATGGCCGCTGTGTCATAGGACGGGACATAAAGCGACGACTGAGAGACCCCAGAGTACTCATTCTGGCCGCCTCCTGCAGGGATGGTTTGGGGCTCAGCAAGAGCTGGTAAGCAGATATAAGATTTGTTTTAGTAGAGATTTTACGGCGCTTGCAACTGCGCAACTGCAAAAGGTCATATGTGCACCAGAAGAGGTGTTACAAGAGACAAACATTTTTTAAAAAGGAGTGGAGACAAGGATGATAGATGTTTGATAGGAAAGAAGAAGCAAACCACACCAGAGCACCCGCCAACCATCCACAGACATAAGAATACATAAGTAAACAAAATGCAACTGGAAAATAAACTTACTGCACATTTATATCAATTCAGTGCTGTTTCTGCTGTCAAGTGGAATATGGCACAGTAATTAATGGCAATAAAGGATGAAGAACAGACTAAGAGAACATAAAAAAGAACACATTATGTGCCCCAGATAGGTCAAATCTTGACAGAAGTTTAGACCAGATTTACAGCCTGTGGCTTGAAAGACTCACTCCTTGGGGACATTGTTCAATTCAGTAATATCTACAAATGAGAGGATACAATTTGGCTTATCAGGGATATTTTCAGAAAGAAGTTGGAAACAACAAAAATGACAAAATCTGCAAAGCTTTCAAATAAATAATTGACAGCTAAATCTTAGACTCAATCTGTGGTGAGAAAAAGTATATATATATAAATTAAAAAAAATTTTAAAAAGATATATATCTATTATCTATTTGTGGTGGCCGAATTTTGCTATTCAAAAGGCTTTTTAATGGCTGCATCGATCGACATGCAGTTTTCGCCAAAAGATTCTTTAAAATATTCTCCAGAGCATGGCGCCCTTGGTTTTTTCAGTTTTGAGATAGTTTTGCTGAAAAAAGCTAAATTTCTTTATTTCGCCGATCGCTTTTGTAAGCCGACGCTTATGTCTTTGTAATTTTAGAAAATCCGGAAGTGATATTTCGCAAGGCGCATTTTTGTTTTGAGAGTACAGATTTAGACCTCATAATTTTTTTGCATCTCTCAAGATTTAATTCCCCATTCCAGTAGAGTGTAAATATAGTAGGCCAATGACTTTTAGTTGACATTGAAGCACCGACCATTCCTTTCATCGAAAGGGGGCCCAGCTAGTATATATATATATATATATATATATATATATATATATATATATATATTATATATATATATAGTTTTTGTACCTATACAGTTTCTTTACTTGTTTTCCAACACTAACCCTTTGACGGAGACGTCGGTAGCCTAGTGGTCAGGCTACTGGACTCGTAATCGTGAGATTGCGGGTTCAGGGGCTCGAGCCTCAGCTCGGTCCGACGTTGTGTCCTTGGGAAAGGCACTTTACACGAATTTTCAACCTGGCTAGGTCCTTTCAGAGACGGACGTTAAATTGGGAGGCCCCGCCTCTTAAATAACCTAATAGTGTTGATAGTGGCGTTAAACCCATACCATTTCACCATTTATTCAACCCTTTGAACCCTGAGCCCACAAAGCCACTGGACTGATCTCTGTATGTAACAAAAACCCACACAAGATATAACAAGCACTAACCACTATGACAAGCCCTTTAGGCTTAAAAACTAGAGAACAAAAAAAATGTTTGAGCCAGCAAACCTCTGGTTGGGAAAATCTCATTCATGATGCGGTGCTTGTCCACGTACTGCACGCTGTGGAACACCGGGCACTGGGAATCTTCCCATGAGCCCTCAATCAAGTCCAGCGACAGTTTCGAGCAAGCCACAATAATGTCTTGGGTCTCCTGGTTTTTCCACCTGAAATTATTTCGCATATTGCAAAACTTAAGAGCCTATAAAAGAAAGAAATATCTTTTTTTTATTCTGTTCGTCTTTCCTTCTATCTACCAATAAAAGTAAAAATTTCAAATTATTAACATATAAGCAATAAATCATCATGCTGCAGATACATGTATCCACAGATATATTCAGTGAAAACCAAAATATGCAATTCAGAAGCTTCAAATGGTAAATTCACATCCATGATAATGAGTAACCTGCATCTGTGCAGAAATAAAAAGAAGACTCAACCCACCTGTTGGCAGAAACTTCCACCTCCTTTTGACCCATGACCAACTTTGGGTGCAGACGAACTCTCTCAAGCATTGGCTGAAAATGTACACACACAAAAAAACATGTTTTGAATTTTTTTTAAAACCAGCTGACATGTTTAAAATAATAGCTAAAATGACATCACTTGCACCAACAAGGAGGAGGAAGAGGAGGAGGATGAAGGGGAAGAGGAGGAGGAGGAGGATGAAGGGGAAGAGGAGGAGGAAAACAAAGATAAAGAAGAGGACAAGTGCTATGCAGCCAAAGAAACAGGAAGTGGAGGGGGAGAAGAAAAAAACAACCATATGAGGAATACCTAGTGAAGTTGATGTAGCAGGCAGAGGAGGGGGAGGAGGTTGGGGAGAAAGGAAAATGGGAAGGGAGGATGAGAAGGAAATACGAGGGAGGATGAGGAGGGAGGGATGGAGATAGGAGGGAGAAAGAGAATAAATAGGATGAAGGAGAAAGGAAATACAAGAGAAAGCAGAAAACAAAACAAAAAAACCAGCAAAAGAAATTGAAAGAGTACTCACCATAACCACCTCCTGGTACACGTGCAGATTCTCCTTGTGTGCAAAGACGCGGCTGATGAAGCCGGTGAAGGAACATGGGTACATGCCGTACAGCCGGTGGAATAGACTGTACAGGGACACTTGAAGGTGAAGGACAAACACCTCCGGCGTGTTGGCTGCCACACAAAGTTTCGTTTTAGTAAGAGTTTTACAGCACTTGCAACAAAATCAGGTCATATAACTATGAATGCTGAAGATTAGGTGTAACGTACAAACAAAGGAGGAGAGATAAGGACCATAGATGTTTGATGGGAAATAAAGAGCAAACCACACACAGAGCACCCGCCAGCCACCAAGATGATGATGATTGCAATGAAAGACGATGCATTTCAGGTCTTAAAAAAACAACAACGAGCAAACAAGTTAACCCTTGACATTTTTGGTACTACTATTCAAGGACTAAAATAAATGTAAGGACATTGTGTCTGAAAGAGTGATTATTCAAAGCTTACCTGGTTTCTTTATGCAAAACACTGAAAGACGTTCAAACACCTCAAATATCTGTGTAAGGTAAGGGCCTATTCCGACCGGAACAGATGGTAGTAGGATGACCACAATCATCATGGCCGTCATCAAGATGGGGACGTCATACTCAGTCTGAGAACAAAGAAATAGATCAATACAAATCAGAGTAATACACCAACAAAACAGCATAGATTTTTCTCTTTTTTATTCCAAAAAATGTGCCAATGGTGAATACTGGGGACTTGTAACTGAGAAAACTGAACCTTCAATTGTCATTATCTGATCTTTCTCTTTCGAAAAGCATAAAGCCCTTTTCAGTCACATATTAGAACAGGAAATACTTCATAAAAACCGGGTTGTGTTTCCGAAAGTTTCATCAAGATAATTTATTTCTTAAACATGTTTTAAAGCATAAAACTGATGGTCGCTTGGCACAAAGATACTGGTTTATACATGAGAGGAAAAAAACCAAAATGTAAATATTCTCAAAATATTCTTTTACTCTGAAAATATGAGGCAAATGTGAGAACCATTTTCTCCCTATTATTACATTTATCCCTTGTTAAAATAATTTAGCAGAATAAAAAAGTAATTAAAACAATAGAAAGAAAAACCCTCTCAAGCATCTTAAGCTTTACAAAACATTTTACTACAGGACTTACAGTTGGAAACTTTCCTAGTTATCAATGACTTTAGCATGCACTATTTCTTAAACTAAAAATTTAAGATGAGCCGTTTCCCTAACAAACTAATATTAAAATCTCTTAACCAAGCACTGACGGCTACCACTGACCCGCAGACACTTGATGATGTGAGAGAAAATTGGCAACTCGACCAGCTGGTGGCACCAAGGCAGCTCCCTATAGACCAGGTACAGAACCAGCTGGAGGGCCGGCAACCTGTTCTCCGAAGTCTTGATGCCATCATGCAGCTTATCGATCAGGGCCTGCAAACGTCAAACATTGGTTGTCATTGCACAGAAGTTAATAGCCCGGAATGGTATCGGACATGTTTCACAATCAATTGAATCAGCCATATTTTTAAATAAATGAAAAAAAGAAAAAATTAACTAAGACAAGGAAAAATGTATCAATTGGTGAAGCAGACCATGCTTTAAAGCCTATCAACCAAAGCCTTATTTCTCCTTCACTACTACCCCTGGACACACATATATCGCTCTATCTTTTCCCTTACACTCATGAGCACCCAACTGCATACAGACAGCCTTCTTTGTGCTTTAACAGTCTGTCCACACCAAACATCCCCCCCCCCACACACACACACACAAACACACAATACATACTAATATTTCCATTTTTCCCTCTCACACCCATATAAAGATGGGTTTAAACAAAGAAAACAATTTGGGGGCTGGGGCAGAAAACCTGTTAACCTTTGGAGGGTTAATTTTATAGAAGTAGGAGAGATTTTAAAAAAAAAAAAGAATATATGTCAATATATGGTTTAAAGAAACAAATTGCACCCATTACTTTTGATAAATAATCATTATAGACAAATAAATATGTGACTCAGCAAGTTTTTACATCAGAAATCCGGGGATGAAAACGTCATCCCACAACATATTTGGAAGCCAGTTTAAGACAACACACCAGCTGCCCGCCAACCCACAGGTGTGTCATAGTTGTAATGTTGGGCGAGGTGTGAATTTTCACACCACACTGTGAATCGCGTCTGTCACTTCATAGCATTCCATAGAGTGTGTGTGGCACATCTTGTAATCAAAGAAACATGTACTGCGTCAAAAGGTCAGTTTTAGCAGAAAAATAAAAAGTTTAATGAATTATTGTATACATATGTGTACATTTTGAACCCCCCAAAAAATCACGAGGAAGTAAAGTTTTACATCAAACGTTTATATGAAAACAAAAAATTTTCATTCTCCTTCCCTTGTTCAGCCTCATTCAATTTTTAAATATTTTTAATCACTTTTTTTTTTTTTTGGGGGGGGGGGGGGGGTAAATGGGTAAATAGGTTTTTATCCCCAGCCATCAAATTGAGATGGAACAATGCTGAAAGCTGAAAACAGAAACTTACACAAACTTCACACAGAACACACCAATATTTAAAACTGCTACAACAAACCTTAGCTTGAGCCTCTCTCAGCTCAGCCAAAATTTCTTGAACATTGGTTGATTGTGTGCGGAAATAATAATCGACCAGCAAATGGATCAGCCATGTCTCTTTAGCTGTGAAAACAGACATTTTTTTCCATGAGAAATTCATCCAAACACCATTCAATATCAATATTATTTATAAAATAACAACAAATAAATGAACAGAAATTTTAACTTTACATGATCTTTCCCATTGAAGGTACTCGTATTAAAATATTATAGCAAAGATAAAAACCCTTGCATCTACTGATCTACATCGTATCGAGAATATTGAGACACAACATTTTGCAGCAACATTAAACATGCATATAAAACTGAAAAGAGAGTAAACATTGAAAGCTGTTTTATTAATTTTAAAATAAAAATTAGAGCCACTTTTATATCTTTTTATATTTCATTAAACTGGCAAAGGTACAAATCAACCTCTTGCTGCTTAATGAAAGCACTGAAGGTATTAGATCTTTGTATATATGTCTTCCTTGTCTTACACTCTTTTAATGCAAGGATAAAAAAAACTTGACAAAATATTGTTTATTTCAAAGGTGACCACAAGGTCCTCCTCCAAAATAAAATCGAGGAAAGAGGAGAAATATTACCAGATGGATGAGGGAAATTTGGACCCCACTCCCCAACTCTCTGTTGTATACTGAGGTTCTAAAGGCTAAGTTCATATATCAATATGACCATATATGGGCCAGAACTGATGACTCCCTTGATAAAATATAAAAGTGTCATTATAATACTCAAAAGAGAAAGTGGTGGATGAGGGGGGCTGGGGGAATGAAGACGGGAACGAGAGAAGACAAGACAGACAGACAGACAGACAGACAGACAGACAGACAGACAGACAGACAGACAGAGAGGCAAGGAATAGTATATACCTATACTATCTATATGGCAGAAAGTATTTTGGGGACTTAATCCGAGCATTCAGAGAAATAGAGCTGGCCAACAAAAAAACCCCACAAACAAGTCATTGAAGATTATGACAAATAAATCATAAGGAAATCAGAGGGTTAGCTTTTCAAAACAGTTCCTTACTTGAGTTGAGATTTTCTAGGATTATCTTCCGGATGTCCTTGACTGTTTCTGAAGATTCGAGCAGCTGAAAGATGTTCTCCATGTGAAGTGGGCCCCCACCACCAGATGCCATTCCTCAGAAAAGTTCCTTCAGTTCTTGCCTAATTTTTCCACCTGTGTGTCAAAGTTTATATATCTTTACATTATGAAACAATTTTCTGAGATAAAGAGTTGGACATGCATGATGTTTGATTTTTGGGGGATTTGGTTGCCAATTAAATTACGTCACAATGGGAGCTTAGTCCATTCATGAAGGACAAAAATCTGGCTGTACTCAAATATATACCAAACATATTAGTAAGGCTAGATGGAGACATTTGACAAAATTTTTGTGGGTAAGACTACTTTACCGGACCATTGGTAACCGCCGGTCAGAGCTACTTTCACTATGGCACCCCTGGTGCCTAGTGGTCCGCTATTCTTCCTTTCCAGGGCTCCCCTACTCACTCTGCGACTGCCAACTACCGTGTGACATCTCTTACCGGGTTTTTCAGTCATAATGACCGTGTCAACGTACCCTTTGACCCATGACCTGGTACCCTGACGTTAATTCGTAAACTAATCACGTGGTCCACTTTTCTTCTTTGCTCGCGACTCTTCTAGGCCTCCCCCCCCCCGCGGGGGCAAATACAATGGAGGGCGGGAGATGCACACGAGCGCTCATTTGCATAATTGCAACCCCCTCGGTCCTGCTCACGACTTGGGGCCAGTTTCTACGAAGCAAGGCTCAGCCTGTTCCAACTCTAATTACCCCGATTGTCCATTTAGCGCCATGGTCCACTCATGTTATTGTATTGCAAGCCCCCGTTGTTATGATACACAGTGGATCCACCAAATTTAAATCCCCTACCCAACCTCAACCAACACCTCTCGCCTCGCCACAGGCTTGCGCTCTGCGCGAAGTCACCCGTGGAACTAGATTCTACCTCTTGTCCGCACGTAGAGAACTATGAGTGCGTAGGCCTAGTTAGGCTAGGCGCGCGTAGTAATCACGGGCCCAGGCGGGTGGTCGAGTAAAGTACAATCCAGCCTTTTTCTGCAATGCACACTGGCTATAGCTGGCCTTCAACCTTTCTTATTATCTACGCACCTCAGTTTAGAGTTCATGTATGCATCATGATTAAAAAGTCAATGCCCCCTCTCTCCGTGAAACATTAACAGATGAAAAGACAAAATGTCCAGTCAAAACGTCTTTCAAAGAATTATAAGGTTTATAGATCCATTACAATGATCCTGATATACTAGATAGGCTAACTGAAATTGGAACTCGACATCTATTTCTTTATTATGACCAAGATAAGAAGATAGGAGCCTTCGTCTTCACGTCTGGTATCACACAGAGAAGAGAACCACAACATACACTTCACAAGAAGTCAAGTAAGCTTCTACAAACGCAATGCCTACCTAGATTGGCTTTTTTTTCTTCTTTGGTACAGAAATTTTATAATTTACAATCAACAGATCAACAGCCAGACAGCAGTAGATTCTAGGTCTACAACTACAAATAAGAACCAGTCCCAGCGTTGTCGTCGTAAGCGGACATTTCGATAACAGCCTCTGTCCCGAGTTCCATCATACATAAAGTGAGAAAGACGAGAGTGAAAGATAAAAAAAAAGGGAGTCACAGGGGAATGCATGCATAATTCAGATAGTTTGCTACAGTAGTAATGTCCCTTTACATCGTGACATCGTGTATGTCTGTCAGTCTGTCTGTGCCTGTCTGTCTGTCTCACAGAATTCTGTGGTCTGTCTCTATCCCTATTTCTCTTACTCAAAGAATTATTGTAGTAGCGTAGTATTAGTCTTTATTAGATCTAGGCCTAACATTATCGTTTAAGTTAATAAGATCTCTCTTAGACTGCACAACAACGTTCACAGACCAGGTCATTTCTTATTGTCTTTCAATGACGTATACATGTGTGGGAGTGGGAGTAATTGTTTTAGTGCGTGTTGAACCGTGTGAGTGTGTGAAAGAAGAGAGAGAAATAGAGAGGGGGTGAGAGGAGAGAGAGAGAGAGAGAGAGAGAGAGAGAGATAGAGAGGGGGTGAGAGGGAGAGAGAGAGAGAGAGAGAGGGGGGGGGGAGAAGAAAGTGTACCGTAACGTGTTTCTGAGATTTATCGGTATAAGTTTAATTCTCGTTCAGCTCACCCCAGGTCGTTTATTTAACCGTAAAAGAGGCGTTTCTCGTCCGTTCATCTCTCTTTACTTTACCGCCAATGTGACGATGTCATTACAAAGATCATTCTCTACTAGACGAGTGAATATATAATATGTTTCTAGTGGACACGGAACTTAAAATTGTTTGAGAGACGGGACCTCCGAATTTACACCCATCCCCAACAGGAACGAGCTAGGCCTAGGTATTACAAGCAGAAAGCCCTCAAAACTCCCCCACGCAACCAAAGTTTGAGAACTCATCCGGATTCGAACCAGAGTCATCCAAATCTGAAGTTGTATATTAAGATACCAACAACGTTATCGGACTGCTCCATCTCTGAGGCACAAAGACGACCACGGAAAGGAAGTTAAAGAAGCAGACCACCAAAGAGTACGGACCTACCAACCAACATGTATCACAGATCAATGACATGTACCCCCCACCAACTACATGACGTATCATCCCACAACTACATATTATATTATTATATCTACAAAGATAACGACCGTGGTAGCTCGATCAGTCTTCTTGGGTAAATCGCCAAACACAAATTCTCTGTATAATATAGTACTTGTATAACATTTACATACGTTTAATGCCGGTACAAGCTCAACGTAAATGACTGAGGAGGCAGGGTGCTTGTTTGACTTTACCTGGCAGGGCCAATACAGGCTGAATATGTCACGTGGGTGGTTGGCGGGTGCTCTGGTGTGGTTTGCTCATTCTTTCCTATCAAACATCTATTGTCCTTATCTCTCATCCTTTTTTGGGGGTTTATTACTCGTTTGTAGAAGAACTATGAAGACAAATGCAGTGACCTACCAGCTAGCAACCCTGCTCAGTCACAAAAACATCCCAACTGAAGTGAAATCCCAGCTTATCAATAGAATCTTCGTACCAACCTTAACATACTAGTGCCAAACATGGTCCTTAAACAAAGCACAATCAATGCCATCGAAATGAAGTGTCTCCGCAAAACCATCAATCACTAGAAGAGACCACATAAGGAACCAGACCCTACGCCTACAAGCGGGAATACCATCAAAGAGTCAAATGGTTCGGACATCTAACCAGAATGTCCCAGAAACAACTAGTGGCAAGAACTTACCACACTTGTGAATCCAGCTTCAAATTAAGAGGAAGACCAAGAAAGACAAGGCTGGATGGGGTTAAAAAGGTCCTGAACAACATATCTACCACAGATGCCACACACTTAACACTGGACCAAAACCTGCATCTCCCCTCGACATCCTAAGGATACCAGAGGATGGAAAAAGTAAAGCACTCTCTTGTAGCACCTCTTATCTTCGGCACTTAGTTATATGACCTAACTGTGTTACAAGTGCAGTAAAATCCTTATGAAACTGAGTGGGACACAGCATCTCAGCAGACAGGTGGAGATTGATAGTTGAAGAGTAGAGTCAACTCCCCTGCACAGGAACCAAACTCAAGTCTTTTGCATATTATATGACGAGGAGTCAAACCATTACACAGCATGGCAGAATGCTGGCCTTTCAATGGTATATATATATAATCTAGAAGCACAGTGTACTTACCAAAAGATCAGGAGATGAAAAAACAAAGCAAAGAGAAAACTCCATAATGCTATAAAAGATAATTTATTACCTTCCATCACATACATGTACATGATATAAATGACAGTAACAAAGTTGACCCAGAAGAAGAACTCCATAGCCATGACAAAATCTAAAAGAAGATAAAGAAAAGAAAAAAAAAAACCCAACTTGAAATTCAAAAGCGAAAAAAAGAACAACCTAACCCCAACCACTGAAAGAAAATTCACGAACCCACAGTTTGTTGTCCGAAATTAAAAACACAGAGTGATGATGATGATATTGAAGATGACAAATGATGGTGATGACTATGACCATTGGTTACAATTATCAGAATAAAAAAAAAAAAGACAAGTTGATAGACTGACGTGTAAATAGCACATACGAGGACAACGAACCTCAGGGTGACCACTGTAGTTAAAAGTTCCAAAGTTCAGAATTAAAAAGATGACCAAGAAAAACCCTCTCTAAGATGAAAAAGGTTCAAATTTAATTGAAAAGAAAAAGACAAAGAAATGAGTACACACATGAAATAAAGACAAAAAAAAGTCCCATTATTTTTAATAAAATACATGTATCCATAGTCTGTTGTCTTATGTAATCAAATTCAGAATGATGACAAAAATGCTGATGAAAATGATATTGAAGACAATAATCATGATGGTCACAGGCCATAATTACTGAATTTTAAAGAGCTTTTCAGACTTATTGATCGATGTCACAATAGCTAAATAGTACGACAAGAATGCGTTCAGACACTTTACACTGAAGTGGAGGTTATGAAATACATCACTTTATAAAACATGAGACGTGATCCATGATCTAAAGAATATTTTGATGATGCTCTCAAAGAAAAACAGGCTCAAAATTTAACCGTCTTTAGTAAAAGAAATACGGTGGAATGGTGTAATTACGTCGTCTTGATCTTGGACAGAATATGTACTGAATCTGACATTGGCAACGCCTGAATCCATCTCAACAAAACACAAAACTACTTTGTTGAGCACACACAAAAAATCTAAAAGTATTGAGAAAAACAATGTTATAGTAAGGAAACCTATTTCATCTTGTCCGTTTTGTATTCTTTTTGAAGCCAAAGTTTGAACCCAATTCAACAAAGAGTCGAGTTCTTTTGAAACGGGGCCCATGACCCCTTAGCTATACTTTCCTTTTATTCAAACCCGACACTTCAGTCCTAGCCTATAAAAGTCAATCTTATATCTTACTGTGTCTCAAAGGCCAACAACTTTCGAAATCAAACTATGAATTTTGCAGAAAGCGAAGCGACACCTGGACCAGAGACATGAGGAGAAGGTAGCACAAAATCAGCGGCTGTGATCATACAACTGTATTGAGACAGGATACACAGCATCAATTGCAAAATAAAACTATTGTACAAAAAAAAAAAGCAAAAGACAAGAAATGAATACACACATGAATAATATCATAATGGTCGAGAAGATACATCTCGTAAAATCAAGAGAAGCCCCTCCCCCTTCGAGCCAGTCAGTGAATCTTTCAGGTTGTTCATAAGACTTAAACATGATAGATTCTCCAATACAGAAAATATGCCCCTCTGTGATCACAAAATGGATGTTTTAAAAATAGACATAAGAAAAAAACAACAGAAACAGCAAATCAACAGAAGTTATAGGAAAACATGTGTGTAGCCAAAAACTTTAAAACAGATTTCGTTTCCACTAATGTTAACCCTCTTCTAATATAAATTTGGCAATTTTAGAGTTGAGATCTTTATGAATTTATGTTTGTCTCCAAGGCACAGAGAAACTACATGAGTAGTAGCTGCACAGGACACTTTTCAAATGATGGTCCAAAACTCAGGATTGTTCAGAAAGTATAAACAGCAGCAGCTTTGCAAAAGCGAAAAACAAAAAAAACCAACAAAAAAAAAAAGAAAAAACCCCCCAACAAAACAATATGGATGGGAAAACTGACCATGAATTTGATTAGAATAGTTCAGACAACCAGTAGACCAATAGCATACTCACTCAACTTTAAAAACAAGCAGAGCAAAACCGATGTATTTCAGTAACCCCTCAAATAAATAAAATGAGGAAGACATACAGATAATAAAGAACGTAAAGAAAGTATATAAGTCAGATTGAATTATCCCATTACCTCGGTATAAAGCAAACATAATCTCAGGAGGAAAAAAAATTAAAACTTTGCTTTGATCAGCAAATTAAAATATATGTATCAGTCAATCAATGAAAGCCACCTACTTGTCATGCCTTATACGGGGGCCTCATTGGGGGGGTCTAGTCGGGTCAGTTTGCTAGCCAGATTGAGGGCGCAAAGCGGCTATCGTGGCACAAGCCGATCGCGCCCAACTCGTCGCCTAAAAAAAAAGCGCATTTGTTTTCAGGCTACGAGTCAGGCGATGATTCTGACCCGACTCCATCCGCAATGAGCACCCGGTATTAAGTTTCAAGGTCTGTACAGGTAGCAGCAGTATGAATGCCTCCATACATAAGAGAAAGTACTGGACCATGGTCACTACAATTACTTTCATAAAAAAGTTCTCACAGCAAAAAATGAGCGACTGCTTATTGCAAAAACTCCCGCTATTTCGAGAAAAGTAAACAACAGCAGTTGTTCCAAGCCTTGAAATAGTACAAATGTTTTAAAATTAAAATAATGAAAAAGCAGCTATGCGGGTGAGAAAATTCTGAAGTCTGATTTTTTAAGTTTTAGTTAGCATTTTTCAGCACTTGCAACAACTATGTCATATAAGTGCCGAAGCTTAGAGGTGTTACAAGAAGATAGAAAACACAAAAAAGGAGGTGAGATAAGGACAATAGATGTTTGAAAGGAGAGATGGAGCAAACCACACTAGAACACCCTCCAACCACCCACTGAAATATGAGTAATAAAAAAATATTGCCAGCAAAAAA